AGGTACACCATGCATTTCAAATGTAGTTCTTCAGTTTCCTCTGTCTGTGATTGTATTTTTAGGAACAAAAGGTAAAACAAAGCAGCACTGATTCAAACAAACACAAACACAGTCACCTCAGTTTTGTCTTAATTTTATCTAGGGATGCACTGATACCACTTTTTTGTACAAGTTCTTACATTTGGATAGTTGCCGATACAGATTCCCGATATGTGTACTGAATAATACCATTACAGCTCTGAATTGGACTTTGAAAACATGTTTTATTTTCATCAGATGTTCCTCACTATCTAACTGTAAAAAAATAAATGTAACTCAAAACTGATGATTTTCCCTCCACCTAACCGCATACCTGATACTGGTATCAGTATGTGTGCATCCCTAATTTTAGCAAGAGATAAATCTGGCATATCTGTTAACTCATTTCTTCAATACACTACTACTACTACACACTACTAAAGCGAGTCAATGGGACTATAGTCAGCTGGTGGAAAAGAGATAAAGATTTGAGTATCATTGGCATAAATATGGAAATCAATGTTGTTGTTAATCAAATCTGGCCTAACGGGAACCTGTTTAGATTCATTAGAAGGGGACCATGTATTGATCCTTGTGGCACTCTGCAGATCATGGTGGCCTGCTTGGAAGTAAGAGTGCCAATATTTTTTCAACCCCAACCTTATTTTTAATTATATGTCAAAATGACAGCAGCAATCCTTGGGGGTAATTACACACATTGTTTGGGGGTGGCTTTTATTTAAATTTATTTATTTCAAATTAAACATATGGGAAAATAAGGTCCAGGTTCTTACTTTAAATAGTTAGAACCATCATGCTGCCTCCTTTTACAAGTTTGGTTTGTTTCAACACATTTTCCCCACAGCCATAAACACTTGAGACGAAAAACATTTGAGACATTTGAGTTACCCTGTGCAGGCAGCATTTCACTACTTGTTCATGTGTTCACTCTTCTGCTTCTTTGGTCTCACTTCCAAATACCACAGCTTTGTGTGGGGATTTTGTAGACAAACAGGAAGTTTCATACAGTTTCATTGAAAAGGTTTCGATAACAGAAAGTGAGATTACAGCATGTGTTTGACTTCTGTTTACCTAATAATAACTTACATACTAAGAGAGATAACAGCCAGGGGCTTTTGCTTTTTTAGTGTGTGTCTATGAATTTTATTTTCCTGTGAAGTGGGTCTCACAGATTTTACTGTTCATTCTATCTTTACCACTACCTGATAGCATTGACTAAACGCTGATCAAATCTTTGGTCACTTTGAGCTGTTGCTCGATCAAAAAAACAAATGGTGCTGGGATGCAAATCCGCAGCAGGAACTGGAGTAACTAAGCTGGTACACAGTTTCACTTCCCTCATCGGGTTTGGCATTGATTAAATTACAAAATTGGAATTTAAAGTTATGATCCTAAAGATATTCATGAAACCAGATTCCATTTTGATATTTATTTATGGTAGGCATTTTCAAAATGTGGCACTTACAACTGTATGTCATCATCTACTACTGTGAATGGGGTTTATTTTAAGGTCCAGTGTGTCATATCTAGGAGAATCTATTGGCAGAAATTGAATTTGATATTCATATGTATGTTTTTATTAGTGTATAATCACCTGAATATAAAAATCCTGTTTTTGTTACTTTAAAATGAGCCATTTTTACAGTTAACATGGCTTGCCTTCCATGGAACTGCCATGTTTCTACAGTAGCCCAGAATGGATAAACCTAACACTGGCTCTCAATAGGGACTTGAGATCTGCAACTACACCGCTAGATGCCACTCATCCTACACACTGGACCTTTTAGTTTTCATAGAGGCTTTAAATTATGATTTTGGTGGAACTTCTGTTTCCAAAGTCAAGAATGAATTTTCATGCAGTGAGACTGCCATTGGTATTAACAGCACAGGAAGTGCCATATAATATTTGTTCCTCTGCACTGATCAGAATCAGAATTAGGTTTATTGCCAAGTAACTTTTCACATACAAGGAATTTGCCTTTGTACATTGTTTGTTTGCAAATATAATTTTTCTTTCCTTGTGTGATATACATGCTGTCTTAAACTCTCATGATACATTGCGTACCTGAGTTATAGAGTCAGTCTTGACTTCCAGTTTAGTCTCATGCTCTCTCCGTGTTGTTTCATTTGTGTGGGTGATCTCACTTGTCGTAAGCACTCCTGAATTGACTAATAACTACAGTATGAGGTGCAGATGTATAAACCATGAGAACATTGTGTGACCATTTGTAAATATCTACTGTATGTTTGTCTGTAATGTATCTTAACTGTCCAGTCTGTAAAGCAGTGGAGATATAAGTGATGTTGATACACATGAGAATATGTACACTGACTATAAATAATGATGATGTAAATAATGATGACATGGACTTTGCATATACAAGCTGTATTTCATGTGATACAGTATTCAAAGTATATTTCTATATGCTGTATTATCTGATGTTGGAGATGCAAGAATGAAAATAAAGTAGATGTTTTTGTCAAACTGTCTTTACTGTTCAATGTCGATCACTTTGGTCCAGACTGACATACTTCATAAACTATTGGATAGAATGCAATGAAGGTGGTACAAACATTTATGTCCCTAGCGGATGAATCCTACTGACTTTGGTGATCCTTTGACTCTGACTCAGAAGGTAAAAGTTCTCACTGATCCAGTGAAATACCTCAAAATCTACTTGATTGATTGACTTAAAGTTTTATACATGTTCCCTTACCTGACTGCACCAGATGGTTTGTTAAAAAAAATATTAGGCAGGTGACTGGATGAACCATATGCCCATCATTTTCTATGGCAGGCAAACTTCAACCAATCAGATCAATGAACCACATCGCACTGCAGCATGAGTACTGACAGGAACTAGGAAAAGAGATCATATTTCTCCTGTATTAGCTTCTCTGCACTGGTTCCCTGTAAAATTCAGAATAGAATTCAAAATCCTCCTCCTTACCTATAAAGCCCTTCATGGTCAGGCCCCTTCATATCTCAAAGAGCTCATAGTACCCTATTACCCCCCTAGAACACTGCGTTCTCTGAATGCAGGGTTACTTGTGGTTCCTATAGTCTCTAAAAGTAGAACAGGAGCCAGAGCCTTCAGTTACCAAGCTCCTCTCCTGTGGAACCAGCTTCCGCAGTTTGTGGGTTCGGAGGCAGACAACCTCTCCACATTTTAAGAGTAGGCTTTAAGACGTTCCTCCTTTGATAAAGCTTATAAGTTAGGGCCTTGGATCCAGGTAAGTCCTGAACCATCCCTTAGTTATGCTGCTATAGGCCTAGAACTATCGGGGGATCTCCCATGGTGCACTTGAGGCTCCTCTCTTCCCTCTCCTCTCTTTCGCACTCATTCATGTCCCACTTAATGCATGTTACTAACTTCACTTCTTCCCCCGGAGTTTCTTGTGCTTTATCGTCCTTTGCAGGTTCCTCATGGATCCTTGGTGAGCCTCCTGAATGGTCCTGCCTTGAACTACCATTTGCTAAAATCACTGATATTATGTTATTATTAATTAGTTATTATTAGTATTATTATTGCTACAGTTACTGTTGTCGCTGCTCGCTGGTCCCCTATCGTTGCTGCTGTCATCGCCCCACCGTCTTTTTCATTGATTTTCATAGTTTTTGCTAACTGTTGTGCTGTACACCTGTCTGTCTCTCTCTGTTTCCTCTCTCTCT